CACCACAAAGAAGGATCTAAAGCCTGTCTTTGCCAATCAAGCTGGAAAGTCCCACAAAGCATGATCCCCATTATCCACATATCCGGATATCTCGTTACTACTGATTAGTAACAGGCCACCCAAGCAACTGGACGCGAAAGGTGGGAGCTTCAGGCAGCCCAGCTGCATCACCACCAAACCGCCTCAACCCTGTGCTGTACTCTCTGAACGGTCGACCCTCCACGATCCCTCCCACCTCCGACAACAGCAACGCCCCCCGCCGCATCAACACATATACACTCTGCTGCACACACCCCCAACACATACCGCACCACCGACACATCTTCAGCCATGGCTCAGGGCGACTCGGCAAGGGTGCAGGAAGCCCAAAAGCTGGCGAAATCGAACCCTCGTGAAGCGGAGCAGGCCTACAAAGAGATCCTGTCGAAACCGCCATCTGCGACGTCTGATGCCGCCATCAAGGAGTACGAATCGGCGTTGATAAGCTTGGGCGAGCTGTACCGGGATGAGAAGTAAGCTGCACCGAGGGCCGCATGGCGGCTGATGCCACGCTGGCGCATGAGCAGCCGTGATTGACTGACCGCACCAGGAATGCGCAAGCGCTCGTGGATTTGGTGACGACAAGCCGAACGACTCTCTCATCGTTCGCCAAGGCAAAAGACGGCAAAGCTTGGTGAGATGACCCCCTCCACACCCCCCTCATGGACCCGGCGACTCACACTGTGACCTCCCTAGTCCGCCAGCTCCTTGACCTGTTCGATGCCATCCCCAACACCACCGACACACAGATCGCCGTCACCAAGTCATGTATAGAGTGGGCGACCTCCGAGCGCCGGAGCTTCCTGCGCCAGAACCTCGAGACCCGTCTCGTCACCCTCCTCATGGCCAAGCAGTCCTACTACGACGCCCTCACCCTCATCAACGGCCTGCTGCGCGAGCTCAAGCGTCTCGACGACAAGCTTGTCCTCGTCGAGGTCCAGCTTCTCGAGTCGCGCGTCTACCACGCCCTCGGCAACATTCCCAAAGCCCGCGCCGCCCTGACGAGCGCCCGAACGAGCGCCGCCTCCGTCTACACGCCACCCCTGCTGCAGGCCAACCTCGACATGCAGAGCGGCATGCTCCACGCCGAGGACAAGGACTTCAACACGGCCTTCTCCTACTTCATCGAGGCCCTCGACGGCTACCACACGCAGGACGAGCCCGTCAAGGCCACCGCCGCCCTGCAGTACATGCTGCTCTGCAAGATCATGCTCAACCTCGCCGACGACGTCAACAACCTCATGGCCTCGAAGCAGGCCCAGAAGTACGCCGGCCAGAACCTCGAGGCCATGAAGGCCATTGCGCGCGCGCACTCGAACCGCTCCCTCGAGGAGTACGAGCGCGCCCTGACCTCGTACCGCTACGAGCTCGGCTCCGACGCCTTCATCCGCAACCACCTGCGCCGTCTCTACGACGCCATGCTCGAGCAGAACCTCATCAAGGTCATCGAGCCCTTCTCCCGCGTCGAGATTGACCACATTGCCAAGATGGTCGGCCTCGACACCCAGCAGGTCGAGCGCAAGCTCTCCCAGATGATCCTCGACAAGGTCATCATTGGCGTGCTCGACCAGGGCGCCGGCTGCCTCATCATCTTTGATGAGACGCACCGTGACGAGTCGTACGACCACGCCCTGGCGACGATTGAGAAGCTCGGCGGTGTGGTGGACGTGCTCTACACGAACCAGGCCTCGCAGCTGGAGTAGGCCGGGAGAGGGGGGGGGGGGGGCGCGAGCTGTAGTGTAACAACATCATAAATACCGCTGGGGAAAAACCCGGACGCGAATCATTCGATGCCATGTCCATCGCCTGTCGTCTGCTGGGTGCCCCCCTGAAGTGAGCCGTCATCGTGGGTCTGGATCATGTGTGTGAATGTGAAATTCGCGGCTCGTACATTCCTCTAATTCTAGTACCGCCCAGCGCCTCCACGTGAGCAGCATCATGACCAGTTCTTCATGGCACAAGAAGGCATCGAACAACCTGGATGGCATCGCAATGTACTCGCTCATTCATTCATTCAGTGAATCCTATGGTACCTCGACACTCCCTGACACGGGTATCTCCAACACCAAACCCCGCGCGGCGGGTACCAAAACGCCCCTGATATTCAAGTCCATTCCTGGTTGCGCAGACCCTTGTCCCCTGCTTTCGAGAGCGAAAGGCTTCTGTGCTCGGACATGCTAGAACTTCATGACAGCCCTACGCCAAGTGCTCTCAAAGGTCGCAGTGATACCAATCGGCGCTGTAAGGCGATTCCCAATCGTCGTCCCCTTTTCCTAAACGCCTTCGAGAAACCCAAAACAAGAAAAAGCCCCCAAAGGCCTTCGTCGTCCAAACATGACCTCGTTCTCCTCGTGGAAGTGAAAAAGACAAAATGCAACGCTATGCCGCCATAGAATGCTACACAAAGACTCCAAAACCAAAACACCGATACTGGCGAAAAGCCACTCACGTAGCAGCTGTGCCTCTTCCCGTCTGTCATGCGCGCACCCTTAAACTCCCGAGTACTCGTCGTCGTCCTCGTAATCATCCTCCGCAACCTCCTGTGCGTTGGCTGCAGCCTCGGCCTGCGC